GTGTCTGTGTGCGTGCACATGGTATAGATTGTGGGCACAGGATGGCCAGGGTGGTATCTAGCCACCTCCCTTCCTTCCCCTTTTGTTACCTCCTCTCAGGCCTCTACTGCAGCGGCTGGGTGAAGAGAGGACCTACAGGTGTCATAGCCACAACCATGACTGACAGCTTCCTCACTGGCCAGATGTTGCTGCAGGACCTGAAGGCTGGGCTGCTCCCCTCGGGCCCCAGGCCTGGCTACGCCGCCATCCAGGCCCTGCTCAGCAGCCGAGGTCTGGGCCCCGATGCTGAGGTCCTGGGAGGTGGGGTGGGGTGGTCCTTCTCTGGGGCCTCACTCTTTGGGAGGGGCTTGTTCTGAGAGGGGTGAAGGAGGAGGTGTTAAGAATCTCCCCTCTGCTTCAGGGGTCCGGCCAGTCTCTTTCTCAGACTGGGAGAAGCTAGATGCCGAGGAGGTGGCCCGGGGCCAGGGCACAGGGAAGCCCAGGGAGAAGCTAGTGGATCCTCAAGAGATGCTACGCCTGCTGGGGCACTGAGCCCAGCCCCAGCCCCTGCCCCTGGCAGGGAAGGGATGAATGCTGGGAGGGGAAGGGCTCCATCCGTCTGAGTGGGACTTTGCAACCTCTGCTGATCCCAGCCGGCTGTGGCTTGGAGGCTTGGCTGCTATTCCAGCGTCTCCTCCCTCCTAGGGAAGGTCGCCCTTGCGCCCAAGGGTTTAGCTTTCAGCAACCGAGGTAACCTTAGGGACAGGTGGAGGTGCGGGCCGACCTAACTCCTTACCCACCTCTCTACTGCTGGACTGTGGAGGGTCACCAGGTTGGGAACATGCTGGAAATAAAACAGCTGCAACCAAAAGCCATGGTTAATGAGGGACTTCTTTTGGAAGGGTTGGGGTCGGGGGTCACCTTCTGGCCGTAGCTCCCCTACCGTCACCAGGTGGCGCTGCAGAGACGGCTCCCTGCTCCGGGGCCTTTCGGGGGCTTGATGGGGCTCGGCAGCCAGGCCTGGCATAGACACCTTTCCTTTCTCCGCTCGGCTCTGCTGTGGCTGCGGGTTGCCTGTCTTCTGTCCACACTAGGGCTGCCTGGGACGGGGACCCCCCTCCCTGGTGAGACCTCAGTACAATCAAAACAGAAGAGAAGAAATGGGAGAAGGGGGACTGAGCAGCAGCTTGTCCCCTGTACCTCTGGATGCCCCAGGCGAGTCTAGCCCGGGGCCCATTCTTTGGCTCCCAAAACCTTCCTGCCTCTGTTTCCAGTCAGACCCACTGGCCTTTAAAAATAGTGCCTCAATCTCCCTAGGGGTTTGCAGTGTCCGGAGAGTGGTCACTCCCTTTCATGGCAGCCCCCAAGACGCTGCCTCGCTTTATAAACTGAGGGGTCCTCGAAATTAGCCCAAGGTCACACACTTGTGAGCTGCGGGCTCAAACCCAGGTTCCAGGCAGGCTGGCGTTTCCTCCGAGGCGCACTTGCCCCGAGTGTCGGGTCTGGGGACGCGGTCCCGGAGAGGAGAGAGGGACCCGGGCCTGCGGCGGGAGGGGCATCGAGGGGCGGCTGGCAGGGCCGAGCCGGGGCGGAGGCGACGGGCCCCGGCGGGGCGGGCCCTCGCGGGCGGCGGTGAAAGCGCCTGCACAGTCGGCTGCGAGCCCTGGGAGCAGGAGGCTCGGCGCGCAGACCAGCCCGGGATGGAGCCGGGCGCCGTGTGAGCCTCGGGAGGGTCGCGGGGCGCGGGGGTGGGTCGGGGCCAGCCGGCCAGGCCGCGCCACCCTCCCCCGCCCCACCGCGCCCTGGCTCCGGCGCCCGCGGAGCTGAGACTGAGCGCGCCAGCCCTCCGGGGCCGAGGCTCTGGGACAGACACCGCGAGGGAGACGGCCGGCGTGGGCTCTCGGCGCGGACGCAGCGCCCCTTCCTCTTGGTGAGTGGCAGGCGGCGGGCGGGGGGCGCCAACTTCGCCGCCAACTTGGGGCTGGGTTCCCGCGGCGCGCGAGCAAGGACGGCGGAGACAGAGGCGGGACACCCAGGGGGAGCCGGGCCCGCGCAGGACTCTCGGGGCGCGAGGAGGGGGCGGCTGGAGGACCCGGACCCTCGAGAACCCGGCCTTGGGTTTGGACCCGGGAGGCCGGAGAGGAGGTGAAGAAGAGGCCGAGGAGACAGGCGCGCGGCGGACGTGAGAGAAGGACGCGGGTGCAGCGCCTAAGACGTTCGTCCCCGGGGTCGCCGAGCCCCCCTCCTCCTTCGCTTGGCGCGGCGGCACGGCGGGAGCGGGGGAGTCTGGGCTGCCGCGGACCCCAACTGTTGCTGCTGGAAGCCACCGAGGCGGAGGGCGGGGAACAGGTCAGGGAGCTGGGGCCAGGGCTGGGATCGACCAGAGCGAGGGGTTGGAAAGGAATCGAGAAGGCGAAAGGGGGCTGTGCGGCTCCCCAGCCCAGTGCCCCGGTTTCCCTAGGTCTGCTGGGCACCTGCTGCACACTTGCCTCGGCGCCCAGACCCCTTCCTCCGCCGTGGGTCCCAATTCTTCCCCTCCAGCTCTGCCCCATCTCCTCTGCCCCAGCCTAGGTCTCTCCCTCCTGCGACCTGGGAGAATCGGAGTGGGCTTCCAGAGTAGTGGCATCTTGCAGATGCTGGCCCGTGCCCGGCTTCCGGGCTTCCAGCGCGCGAAGGGAAGGGTAGGCAGAGAGGGCGCTGGGCGAGCGTGACCTGGCGCTGGGCCCTGGCTGCGCACCAGCCGCCTGCGCCAGTCTCTGGGGGCTTCACCCAGGATCCCCGACGGCGGGGAGGGGAAGCCTCGAGCCTCCTGTTTCCTGCCTAGGCGGGCAAGGCGGGGACACACGGAGCAAAGGCACCAGGCAACCTGAACCTCCAGGTGCGTCCCGCGACCCTGCAAGGAGCTGCTGGGTGAGCAAGACAGAAATTCCCGCCAGGCCCCGATGCCCACCCTATTTGTCCACTCGGTTTCCCAGCCCTGGTCGTCCAAGGGGACTTCTGGCTCGGTCCCCCAGCCCTCGGATGGTGGCGTCATCTTAGTTCAGTCCCTGACCCCAGGCCACAGGAAAATCGAGGAAAGAAACTTATTTGGGGAGGGTACCATTCCGCTGGCTGTATTTCCGAGCCCGTCCAGGTCTTGGCGGGGCTAGTGACTTTGAGCCTGTTTCTAAACTCCCGAAGAATAAGAGCGTGCAAGAGGCAGGTAGGCAGGTCCGGGACACCTGGGTTCGCCCAGGGCCCCGGGGCAGGCCTGGGCTGGTACCAGGGCCGCCTGCCAGACTGGCTTGGTCCCCCCACTGCGGGGCTCAGGATCATGACCCAGCTTGGGGGAGTGGGGGTGGGGGCGCAGGAGCCGCGGACGCCGGCGGGGACAGCGCGGGGCGGGGGGCGCCGGGTGCGTGGTGCCCAGCTCCGCCGCCAGGAGGCGTGGCGCGGGTCCCCGCCCGGAGCCGCCGCCGCCGCCGCCGCATCGCGAGTGTCCTTGAGCCGCGGGTGACGGTGGCTCTCGCTGCTTGCGCCCCCTCCTCCCGCGGGGGGAGCCTGATGCCACGTTCCCTATGAATTATTTATCGCCGGCCTAAAAATACCCCGAACTTCACAGCCCGAGTGTAAGAGATTCCTGCGGAGGGGAGGGGGCGGGGCGTCCCGGGGGCCGGGGGGAGTCTGGGCTTGGTCAGCAGAGACTGGGGGCGGTAGCCTTGGAGGAGCGAGAACTCCGTGCCCCCAGCAGTGGGGCATGCTAGAACGGCGGTCCTCTCCCCTGGCGCCTCAGTTCGGGTTTTGGCTGGGCAAAAGGGAGGGAGGGAAACCCGACGGCAAAGGAAGGGCGGCTCACCGGAAGGGCAGGGGGTCTGGGGTTCTGCTGGTGGGTGGGGAGGACTCCAGCGACCAAGTTTCCTAGCCTGGGAGAGGGGGAGCCATCGGTATCTCCGATGTGAGCCGGTGTGAGTGCGGGAGTGTGCATGTGCGTGCAGGTCTGTGCCAGGGGATCTGGCTGAGCTGTGGGGACCCAGGAAGAAGGCCCCCAGCCTAGGAAGGTGCTCAGACCCTTCCAGATGCTGCTGTGTCCTGAAGGATTGACCACTGCCATCCTTTCTGGGGCTCTTTGGGGATCTCTGTGTTTGTCAAACATTAGTTTAAGGGCTGTTTGTGGAAGGGGTGAGACCCTGAGTGGGTGGGTGGGCAGAGGTCTCTGAGACAATGTGTCTGCCCTCAAGGAGCTCGCAGTCCAGTGTGGGGCAGGGTGTTCATGAGTGCACACACACACACCTGCCGCAGGACAGAATGGAGGGGTGGAGGGGACTACTGCACAGAGCTCCCCACCCAGGAGGGGAAGCCAGGGCAAAGGGAAGAAGGGCAGCTGCCTCAGCCTCGCCGCAGACCCTGCACCTGGAGCCTGAAGCATCAAGGCAGGTGCCTGTGGGAGAGGGATTTCAGCTGGGCCCTGAAGGAGAGTAGACTTCTGTTGGGATGAGGACGTTCCAGCCTGGGGGATGCTGGAACAAGGCCTGGAGACGAGGGCAGAGTGGGGCTGTTTGGCCAGCAGACTGGCAGAGCTGTGGGCTCCAGGGATGGGAGGATGGTTGGTTGTGGTCAGGGTGCAGAGGGCTCTGTCTATGGGACTAAGCTGTCCGGACTTCATTTGTGGGCACCAGGGAGTAGCTGTCCTGTGTGAGGAGGGAGCAGTGGCTGGAGGGAGGCTTCAGCAGTGCAGTGGGGCTGGTGGGGGTGGGTAGATGGGAGGTGGGGAGGGGGAGGCAAAGCAGGAGATTGTGGTGGGGCAGAGCGGGGTTTGTCCCTCCTACCTCTGTAGGGCGGCGGGGTTAGACAGGGTAATAAGACAGACGTCAGAAGCTCCTTGAGTCTGCCTCTTGCTATTTGGAGCCCAGGGACTTACCTAGTTTTGGCCCCTCTCTCTGGAGGTATTCTGGGATCCCTCCCCCATTTTAGGCCCCTTGGTTAGAGGTACAACCTGCCTCAACTCCCCCACCCTCCAGCCCGGGAGGACACCTTCCCTTTGGAGAGAGTCTCTGGTGTCTCCAGCCCAGGAGGATGCCTTCCTATTGGAGAGAGTGGGAATGAGAGCACTTTCAGCTGTTATCAGACCCTATTCCTGCGCGTGAATGAGCTTTAGGTCCTTGGTTAAGAAAAGGTCTTGACTGGGGAGGCCGGAAGCTTGAGGGGAGTAGGGAGGGCAGGCTATTGGTGGAAAGAGAGATACATTTAGAAGAAGGAGGTTGGAGACGCTCATGGCAGACTGCTTATTCTGCCCCTTTGCAGTTGAGGAGCCTGAGCCCTTCATCCAGGGTAACACTGTCCAGAGAAGTAAAATAAATAAATAAATAAAATGGGAGCCACAAGTACAATTTAAAGTTTTCTAGTAACCACATTAAAACAAATAGAAAGAAACAGGTGACATGAATTTTAATAGTATATTTTCCTTGACTAAACATACCCCAAATGTTATTATTTCAACATGTAATTAAGATACAAATGTTTATGAGATTTTGACATTCTTTTTCCCTATTGTCTTAGTGTGGGATGAAATTTTATACTGGTAGCAACCTCCGTTTGGGTGACAGATGTTTCCGGTACCCAACAGTCGTGTATGACTGGTGGCTCCTATACTGGGCAGCACAGATCTAGAGCTTATCACTGGGAGGCAGTGGTGGTAGGAGGTTTGGGGCTTCCCAGAGGGCAAGGAACCTCTAGGATCTGGAGGTGTGGGCAGAGGTGGGCAGACAGAGGCCTTACAAGGGGAGCGACAAGCATGTCAGTGAGCTTTGTGCTCGAGATTTGACATCCCTGATTGGTGGTGGTAGCTGAGGCATGGCGTGGCACTGATTGATCCCATGCCAGACTCAAACATGTCTCTGGGCTGTCAATTCTGTCACTTCTGTGTCACTGTACTAGGGAACCATACACATGGGAAGAATTCAAGGGCACCAACATGAGAACAATATTCCCTTCCTTGCCAAAACTCCTGTCTTGTTAGCCTGAAATTCTACCACCTGGCACTTTAGCTTAAGGCTCAACTACCTCTCTCTTGGGAATGAGAACCCTTTCAGCTATTATCAGTCCCTTATACCTTCCTGTGAATGAGCTCTAGATCCTTAGCTAAGAGAAGGTCTTGAGGGGGAGGCTGGGGAGTTTGAGGGAAGTAGGGAGGGAAGGGTGGAAAGAGAAATACATTTAGAAAAAGATGAGGTTGGAGGTGCTAACAGCAGCATGCTCATTCTGCAGATTTGACTCTAAGTTCCTGGAGCGGAGGGACCATGTCTCACCCACAGGGACATTCCACCATCCAGTGCCGACCGCAGGGAAGGGGTTCAGCACACATGGCCAATTTATGTTTCTGCACTAAAGTCAGTCTAGTGGGTTCCCCTGGAGGGATCCTTTCAGTGCCACCCTGGGGAGAAGAGGAACTTTCCTGAATGTTCCTGGTAGCCTCTTGCACTTCCCCGCTCTCTGGATTCCTTAGAGAGGACTAGAGACCCAAGAAGGCCCATATGTCTGTAAGACATTAGGCTTTGGATTAAAAAAAGAGAGAGAAATTTGGCGGCAGGCAAAAGGAAGGCCCTGTGAGAAAGCTGGAGCCTGCCCAGCCATTGCCTCGGGCCCCAGCCCTGAAGGGCATCTGCCTTTCCGAGGCGCGGTTTCTGGCAACTTCTTGATTTTCGTGAGCATTTCTGTAGCAGAAATGTGCAGATCCTGGGGGAGGCGGGAGGGCTAGAGGGGTAGGCTCATCCTGTCCACCCTTTAGCTCTCCCCTGCTCAGAAGTTTTGCTGGGGATGTGATGAAGATGGAAGAGGTGGCAGTGCCGTGGCCGATGGCCAGCTGGGAGGGAGAGCGACATCCATGGGCACCACTCCACTCAGGCTTTGCGTTACCCTCACGGCTGTGGCTCTTGGTCCCAATCCAAAATAATGACATTTAGCAAGGATACATGTCAGGGCCCTGGATCGGGTTAAAAAGATCCTGCACGCCAGTGATGGCCTGAGAGGCCAGCCCACCAGCTCATGTGAAACGAGACCAAAGCCCAGCTCACCAGCTTGGGGTTTCGGGTACCCCTGAGCTCTGAACAAGTCAGCACTGTCGCACCCTGCTGCGTAAGAGCTGCTGCTAGCTGAGGCCACAGAAGGAAGGGCTGTAGTGACGTCCAGTGCTGAGGAGGAGGGGGCTCTGTGCCAGGCAGAGCCATGCAGAGCAGGGCCCTTGGGGCTGGCCCCATGGCAAGCAGGGCACACTGGACCAGTAGCACAGGCCCTGATGAGAGACAGATGGAAGATCCCGTTTAGACTACAGAGAGGACTGGTGGCGGGGTGGGGGGTTGAGGGTGATGCAAGAGCTGTCTTCCTTCACCTGGCTGGGGGCCTGTCACCTGCAGGATAAGGTCACTAATCCCAGCAAATAGCCTGTTAGCTCATCTAAGTCCCACACTGCTGTGATGATTTCAGGCAAGAAAACATGGCTCAGAGAGGCTAAGTGACTTCCCTAAGATCACACAGCCAGTTAGTGGCAGAACTGGGACATGAACTCAGATCTGTCTGACTCAAATCCATGCACTTGAACCCCAGACTAGCATTTTCAGTATAACTTCCTAGGGCAGAGCCCGGTGGCTGAGTTTTGGAAGGCCTTGCCTTTCCAGCCAAGTGTGCAGTTCATCGGTAGACTGGAGGGCTGGGTCCCGGTTGTGGCTCCTCTTCTTCCCTGGCCCTTGCTCTTTCGGGATGACCTTGGGATGCTCAACTAACCTCTGTCTCTTTCTCTTTGTCTGTGTCTGTCTGTCTCCCTCTCTCTCCACCTCTCTTCGGGGAGGGAGGTTTTCCCTTCTTCTCTTTCATCTTCTGTATGTGTGCCCCTCTGTCCCTCCTGTCTGTCCATCTACCTCTCTCCAAACCTCTGTTTCCCTACCTGTGCTTGTCCTGGTCTCTCCGCAGGACCCTCCGGTGGACATGGGTGGGGCCCTGGGGCCGGCCCTGTTGCTCACCTCGCTCTTCGGTGCCTGGGCGGGGCCAGGGCCAGGGCAGGGCGAGCAGGGCATGACGGTGGCCGTGGTGTTTGGCAGCTCGAGGCCACCCCAGGCCCAGGTCCGTGCCCGCCTCACCCCCCAGAGCTTCCTGGACCTGCCCCTGGAGATCCAGCCACTCACAGTGGGGGTCAACAACACCAACCCCAGCAGCCTCCTCACCCAGATCTGCGGCCTCCTGGGTGCTGCCCGCGTCCACGGCATTGTCTTTGAGGACAACGTGGGCACCGAGGCGGTGGCCCAGATCCTTGACTTCATCTCCTCCCAGACCCATGTGCCCATCCTCAGCATCAGCGGAGGCTCCGCTGTGGTCCTCTCCCCTAAGGTGCATGTCCAAACTCATGTCCCCTCGTGCCTCAGGCCTGGAACCAGGCTGGGGCGGGCGGTGCTTAGGTTCTGGGAAGCTGGGATTAGATGGGACCGGTAGGGAGGTGGGGGCTGAGGGCATGACGTGGGTGATGGGGAGATGGCTATGGGAATGACAGCCCATGTTCTAGACGAGAGACATTCTGGGTTGCCCTCACATTGTGTCTGGATGAGGGGTAGGCAGGGTGCAGGCCCACCTCTGGCTGCGGGGCTCAGGCCCCAGCCCTCCTCCTGTCTGCTGCCCTCAGCTTCCTAGGTCAGGGTGAAGACCCAGAGGGCCGGCCGGGCATGGAGGTGGTGCCATGCCCTTCGGGCAGTGGTAGTTCACCTGTAGGGTGAGCACTCCAGAGAACCCTGGAGCCCTGCGGGAGGCAGAAACGGCCCTGCCCTTGCAGAGCTGGGGGAGAACGTTCCAAACACACACCCATCCGCAGTTACAACTGGGACAAGCATTCTGAAGGAAAAACACAGGATGCTGTGAGGCAGCTCACGCATGGCTCATGCATAGGGTGTTGGCCAGGGAAGGTCTCTGGAGAAATGATGTCTAGGCTGAGGGCCTAAGGGCGAGTCAGTGGGGAGGGAGAGAGGCCCAGGCAGAGGAGCAGGTGGGATGAAGTTCTCAAGGTGGGGAAGGAGCTCAGAGCTTTGGAGGAATAGAGGGAAAAGCCTGGAGAAGGAGGCGGGGGCCTGGCCACCTGGGAAGACATTTGGGCTTTTCCCTAAGCAAGTGGGCAGCCAGGGCAGGGCAAGCGGGCTGTGACGGTGGCCGTGGTCCGTGCCCGCCTTAGCCCTGTGAGCTTCCTAGACCTGCCCCTGGTGATCTAGCCACTCAGGGAAGAGCACAGGAGAGTCGAGGGAAGAGACTGATCTGATTTGCCTTTGTTTCATTAATTTTTATATGAAGAATTTTGAGTATACACTAAAAAGTATAAGGAAGGCTTATATATCCCCTGTTCGCCCTGGTCATCCACCCCAGCCTCACCACCACCCCCTTTCCCTTCTTCTGTGTTAATTTGAAGCGAAGCCCAGGCATCCTCTTATTCCATCCATAAATATTTCAGTATGTATCCCTGGCAGATAACGGATTAAGAAAGTAAAACCACCATACATCATCATGTCTAAAAAATAATAAAAATTCCTTCAACTATCCAGGCAGTGTTCAAATTTCCCCATTGTCTCATAACTGTCATAAATGTTTATTTTGCAGCCTGTTTGCTCGAATCAAGAGCCAAATCAGGTCCACACGTGCCGGTTGGTTGGTGTGGCTTCTAAGTTTCTCTCAACCTCTGGGTCCCTCCTCTGTCTCTCCCTCTTTTTTCCTTGCAATTTGTTTTTTGAAGAAACTGCATTGCTTGGCCTCTGAATTTTCCCTTATTTGCTTTTTTAAAAGACTGGGACAGTGGCAGCAGTGAGACCAGTTAGGAGGGGACTGCGCTGGCCCCGGTGACAGCCGGCAGTGCCTTGGGCTTTTGTGGTGGCAGGGGGTGGAGAGGAGCATTCCCACCCTCAGGGCTCCGACCAGGTGGTGTTTCCCAGTCCTCTTGGGGCCCCGGCGTAAGATCTCAGGACACTGGCTCTCAACCCTCATCGTGCTCTTAGGAAATACAGACGCCTGGCTTTGCACCTCTGGAATTCAGATTCAGTTGGTCTGGGGCAGCGCTTCTGTCTAGCGGGCTCAAGGGTCCACTGAAGGGCTTGTTAGAATACAGATGCCAGGCGCCATACCCAGCGACTCCGATCCGGTCGGTGTGGGGTGCGACCTGAGAATCTGCATTTCTGACAAACTCCCCGGTGGTGCTGATGCTGCGGGTCTGCGGGCCAGCGTGGTGGGCTGGGGGCCGGGCATGACCATGCTAATGGGCAGCGGGGAACCACGTTGGGGCGCGAGGGAGGCGCAGGCCAGGGGACTCCCGGAATGCGGAGCATCCACCCGCGCAAGGGCGCCTGGGAGCGGATGGAGGGGTCGAGGTCGGGGAAGGGGCGCTAGGCGGGGCTCAGCCTGCCCCGCCCCGGCTCAGGCCCCGCCCCGCCCCCAGGAGCCGGGCTCCGCCTTCCTGCAGCTGGGCGTGTCCCTGGAGCAGCAGCTGCAGGTGTTGTTCAAGGTGCTGGAAGAGTACGACTGGAGCGCCTTCGCGGTCATCACCAGCCTGCACCCAGGCCACGCGCTCTTCCTGGAGGGCGTGCGCGCTGTCGCCGACGCCAGTCACCTGAGCTGGCGGCTGCTGGACGTGGTCACGCTAGAGCTGGGCCCGGGAGGGCCTCGCGCGCGCACCCAGCGCCTGCTGCGCCAGCTCGATGCGCCCGTGTTTGTGGCCTACTGCTCGAGCGAGGAGGCCGAGGTACTCTTCGCCGAGGCGGCGCAGGCCGGCCTGGTGGGGCCCGGCCACGTGTGGCTGGTGCCCAACCTGGCGCTGGGCAGCACCGATGCGCCCCCTGCCACCTTTCCTGTGGGCCTCATCAGTGTCGTCACCGAGAGCTGGCGCCTCAGCCTGCGCCAGAAGGTCCGCGACGGCGTGGCCATTCTGGCCCTGGGCGCCCACGGCTACCGGCGCCAGCACGGAACCCTGCCAGCCCCAGCCGGGGACTGCCGCGCTCACCCTGGGCCCGTCAGCCCTGCCCGGGAGGCCTTCTACAGGTGGGCACCTGCCCGGGGCATAGGGGTAGGGAGGTGGGGAGCACTTCGGGGGACCTGGGTGGCAGTGAACTTGGGCTGGCCAGCTACACCTCTCACTAGCTGCGTGCCTGGGGCCACATTACCCCACCTGTCTGTGCCTTAGTGTCCTCATCTGAAAAAACAGCAGGTGTCAGGGTGTGGCAAGGATCGTGGGGCCAATATAGGGAAGCACTTTGAACAATAAACACAATCAAGGCCACCTGCTGTCGGTGGTGGCAGTGAGGCAGAGGCAGGGGGTGCCTGGTCCTTGGCAGGGCTGCAGGCATCTCTCCCCTCTGGCAGGCACCTACTGAATGTCACCTGGGAGGGCCGAGACTTCTCCTTCAGCCCTGGTGGGTACCTGGTCCAGCCCACCATGGTGGTGATCGCCCTCAACCGGCACCGCCTCTGGGAGATGGTGAGAAGGGGGTGAGCCCAGGGGCCCTCAGTGTCCTCTCATTTTGTCCCCGCCTCCTCTTGTGCCCACAGCTGAGTAGAGAGTCCCTCTGTCCCTTATCCAACCCCTCATCTTCCAGGTCTCAGCTGAAACAAACATCTCCTCCATTGGGAAGCCTCCAGGTGCCCCGGGGTGGGTGAGGTGCCCTGCTCTGGGCTCCCATAACACCCCAGCTTCCCTCCACTATAGAACATTTCAAGTGCTCCTATCTCCTGGTCCTGCCCCTGCAGGAGTAACCCATGACCATGCTGGCCAGACAGGCTTGTAAACAATATGGAGAGATCAGTGCTTGAGTAGACGTGTGCAAAAGATTGTGGGATTGGAGATGAGGAACAGGAATTAGTTCTGCCTTCAGAGGAAGAAACTGGGGAAGAGGTCACAGAAGATGGGATATTTGAGCTGGGCTGTGGAGGTTTGAGTAGGAGCCCACCAGGAAGAGGTGTTAGCCTGGAAGAGACAGAGAGGCAGAAGGGTTTGGGGCATTTTTAAGTGATGCAGGGGTGTGTTTGGGGGTGTGCAGACTGAGGAGGTAGGAGTGATGGGGGACACTGGACCTGAGCATGAAGGGCCTTGAGTGCTCAGCTAAGGACTTTCTGTCAAAGTCAGGGGGGACCAGTACAGTGAGTGAGACAGGGTCAGGTCTGGGCTTTAGGAAGACGCTGTGGGTCAGTGTGGAGCTGGATTGGAGAACACAGGGACCCGAGGCTGGGGGAGGCTGCCAGGAGCAGCCCTACTCTGACCTACCCCAGCGTCCCCAGGTGAGAGAGGGGGATTCTTGGCCCTGGCAGGCTCCACCTAGAGGGTGGGGGCTGTAGGGCTGGAGGCCCCAGGCTGAGACTGTCACCCTCCACAGGTGGGGCGCTGGGAGCATGGCGTCCTATACATGAAGTACCCTGTGTGGCCTCGCTACAGTGCCTCTCTGCAGCCCGTGGTGGACAGTCGGCACCTGACGGTGGCCACGCTGGAAGAGAGGCCCTTTGTCATCGTGGAGAGCCCCGACCCTGGCACAGGAGGCTGCGTCCCCAACACCGTGCCCTGCCGCAGGCAGAGCAACCACACCTTCAGGTCTGCGGAGTGCCCTGGGAGGCTGGTGTGAGCTGGGTGCTGCTGTGTGATGGTCAGGTGTTGTGTATGTCTCATGCTTGGGTGTGGGGCAGGGGTCCACGTGCCAGGTTGGGAGGAGCGGCTGGGGAGGGGCTGGGCCACGACCTGCTCTAACTCCCGGTGGTCTCATGGTGGCATGACTGCAGCAGCGGGGATGTGGCCCCCTACACCAAGCTCTGTTGTAAGGGATTCTGCATCGACATCCTCAAGAAGCTGGCCAGGGTGGTCAAATTCTCCTACGACCTGTACCTTGTGACCAACGGCAAGCATGGCAAGCGGGTGCGCGGCGTATGGAACGGCATGATTGGGGAGGTAGGCCCCACCCCACTCCCTCCTCACCTGCCCCGCCTGTCTGCCTGCTGCCCAGGCCCCATGCGGCTCTCAGATGCCCTCTAGAGAGGGGCATGGGCTGTCACCAGTGATGACTCCTGGGATGGTCAGTACTGAAAGCTGAGCTCTGAGGGCCCCAGAGGGAACAACTGATTCAGCCGGTGGGTGTTAGAAGGGGTGCCTGGAGGTGCCTGTGAAGTGTGCCTACCCCTCGGGAGCCCTTTTTCCAAACCTCCCTGGCGTCTGGCCCCCAGGTGTACTACAAGCGGGCAGACATGGCCATCGGCTCCCTCACCATCAATGAGGAGCGCTCCGAGATCGTAGACTTCTCTGTGCCCTTCGTGGAGACGGGCATCAGTGTGATGGTGGCTCGCAGCAATGGCACCGTCTCCCCCTCGGCCTTCCTGGGTGAGGCCCAGGGTGGGGCAGAGATGGCTTCGGGGCCAGAGGGGCCCACAAGGAGGGTGTGTACAGCTTGGGTGGAGATGGGGAGTTGGGTGGGCTCTCAGAGGCCAAGCACAGCAGCCTTGGGTCTTGGAGGTTGGCTGGAGGTGAGTGGAAAGGAGACAAGAGAAGTGAGGTCGGTGTTCGGTTCTAGGTATGGCTGCCAGGCGAGGGTGGGGTTGGGGGTGTGGGATGGGTCATGGTGCCCCTGTGAGTGACAGGAAAACTTGGCAGGCAGGCTGGCCTCAGGATGGGCCATGGGCCAGGACCGTGGAACAAGCGGGGGAGGCCCGTGGGGAGCCGAGGAGTGAGTGTAGTGTGGGAAGAGGTGTGTTGCTTCCTGGGTGAGGAGTCCAGCATTGGTTGGGCAGCCAGGTCCCATGCTGGGTGCTGGGGCTACAGCCATAATCCTTGCCTTCCCACAGTGCCCAGTCTGAGGTCACGTGGGACATGCAGTATGAGGTGGCAGAGAGCTGTGAGCACAGGCAAGGGGCAGGGGAAGAGCTGAGGCTGGCCAAACAGGAGTGAAAACCTCGGCTCTGCCCTGTCCTACTGTGCGGCCTTGGGCAAGTCACAGAACCTCTCTGAGCAGGCTCCTCAGCCACGGAAGAGAGAAAACAAAACCCATTTCATAGCATAGCAAAGGCTCATGGCAGGAGTGATTTCCCTTCCTCCCTCCCTCCCTCTCTCCTTCCCTCTCTTCCTTTCTTCTTTCCTTTTTTTTTTGTTTTTTAAGATGGGGTCTTCCTCTGTCACCTAGGCTGGAGTGCAGTGGTGCCATCTCGGCTCACTACAGCCTGGACTTCCTGGGCTCAAGTGATCCTCCCACCTCAGCCTCTTGAGTAGCTGGGACCACAGGTGCATGCCGCCACACCTGGCTAATTTTTGTATTTTGTATAGAGACAGGTTTTCACTATGTTGCCCAGGCTGGTCTCCAAACTCCTGGACTCAAGCAGTCCACCTGCCTCAGCCTCCCAAAATGCTGGGATTACAGGTGTGAGCCACTGCACCTGGCCAACAGTAGTGATTTCTTTTTTTTGAGACTGAGTCTCGCTTTGTTGCCCAGGCTGGAGTGCAGTGGTGCAATCTCAGCTCACTGCAACTGACGCCTCCCGGGTTCAAGTGATTCTCCTGCCTCAGCCTCCTGAGTAGCTGGGACTACAGGCATGTGTCACCATGCCTGGCTAATTTTTGTATTTTTAGTAGAGACGGGGTTTCACCATGTTGGCCAGGCTGGTCTTGAACTCCTGATCTCAGGTGATCTGCCCACCTCGTCCTCCCCAAGTGCTGGGATTACAGGTGAGAGCCACCAAGCCCAGCCAGCAGTAGTGATTTCTTACTCTAGGAGATAGAAATAGTCTTGTCCGAGGCCTGGGGTGGGTCTCTCCAGTTCCCTGGGCACGGGTTTCCATGTTGGTAGGATGAGGAGTAAGACTTGGCCTCAGGGGCCCTGATTCCAGGCGGAACCACCAGATCATCCACTTGGGGACAGGCAGGGGTTGTGAAGTCAAAAGAACGTTTCTTGGGGTGGGTGACTTGTACCTGTCCCAGGGAAGTGGGGGGCAGGGGGAGACCAAGGATGCTGGAGATCCTGACCTCTTTTGGGGGCCTCTCCTGGGGCTCTGCTGCTCTGAGTCAGGGGCCCCCTTGGCTGGGTCCGCAGAGCTGGTGGGCCCCTACTTTGACCACGTGGACCCCACCTGTCTCCACCCAGTGCTTCCAGGCTGGGGGCAGGGACAGGGAACAGGAACATGCCGAGGCCTCTGAACTGCCTCCCTCTGTCCCCAGAGCCATATAGCCCTGCGGTATGGGTGATGATGTTTGTCATGTGCCTCACCGTGGTGGCCATCACCGTCTTCATGTTCGAGTACTTCAGCCCCGTCAGCTACAACCAGAACCTCACTAGAGGCAAGAGTAAGCCTCGCCTGGACCTGGCAGGAGGGGCGGGCCTGGGCACCCTGAGGGTTGGGCTCAGGGGCAACAGGTCCTCCAGAGAATACCTTTGGGAGGTCCCTTGCCTTTGGATGACACATGCTGGGGGCCAGTCAGATCACACACACACACACACACACACACACACACACACGGGTGAGCTCACTTGACCTGGTGAGGGAATGGCCAGGGACGGATGCCCCCCAAGGCCAGGCTGAGCCCTGAGCCCTTTCATGGTGGGCAGGAGGAGCCCCAGCATCCCCCTCTTGCCCCCAGAGTCCGGGGGCCCATCTTTCACCATTGGCAAGTCCGTGTGGCTGCTGTGGGCGCTGGTCTTCAACAACTCGGTGCCGATTGAGAACCCACGGGGCACCACCAGCAAGATCATGGTTCTGGTCTGGGCCTTCTTTGCTGTCATCTTCCTCGCCAGCTACACGGCCAACCTGGCCGCCTTCATGATCCAGGAGCAATATATCGACACTGTGTCGGGACTCAGTGACAAGAAGGTTGTGGGGCCACAGGGTGGGGGGACACTGAGGGTGGGGACAGGCCGTGAGTGGGCAGACCCAGGACAGTCAGAGTCTGGGGAATTTGAGCTGGAGGCTGGGGCAGGAAGAAGCTTCAGGGCCTGCTGAGGAGGGGGTGGGGGCTGGGGCAAGAGATGGCTCAGGGTCACCGACTGAGAGGCCTTGGGTAAGTCTCTCCCTGTCTTGGGCCTCAGAGTCTCCATTTGGAAAACACAGGAGTGGCCTGGACAGCCTTTAAGACCTTCTGCTCTGACTATGCAAGTCCACACTGTGGGGCTGGGCTCTGGGGTGGGTTTGGGGCTTTGGTGCCTGGAAGGCTGGAGGAAGGGTTGTGACTGGCTGCTGCCCTCCACCTGCAGTTTCAGCGGCCTCAAGATCAGTACCCACCTTTCCGCTTTGGCACGGTGCCCAACGGCAGCACAGAGCGGAACATCCGCAGTAACTACCGTGACATGCACACCCACATGGTCAAGTTCAACCAGCGCTCGGTGGAGGACGCGCTCACCAGCCTCAAGATGGGGTGGGTCCCCAGCCCTGCACCCGCTGTCTCCATCCACGTGTCTCCCCAGTGACCAGCCTTAGCTCTCAATGTAGGGACAGTGGGACTGAGCTGCCCTGCAGGACTCCTGGGGGGTGGAGGGAGGAGGTCTTGGGGCAGAGTGGAGCTTGAGGCAAAAATGGAAGGCCACCATGTGTCTCAGAACACAGCTGTGGTGCCAACCGAAGTTCAGCCTCGGCCTGAGGTGGTGGCTGGGACATCCTCTGAGCCTGAGGAGCATGGAGGGGGTGGGCAGAAAGGGTGGTGTCTCCTGGGAACAGACAGTCCCCTGGCCACTCTGCGGAGGAGGGTGGGAGGGGTCCTCACTGCATCCAGGACCCAAGACAACCAGACAAGGCTCTGCCCATTGGTCCCTCCCAGCAAGCTCATGTGGTTTAGACCCCTGTCACGCCCCAGTTTCGGTGTCCCCTACCCTCCCATATGGTCCCTAGCTCTGAGGCTCAGCCTGTCCCCAGGAAGCTGGATGCCTTCATCTATGATGCTGCTGTCCTCAACTACATGGCAGGCAAGGACGAGGGCTGCAAGCTGGTCACCATTGGGTCTGGCAAGGTCTTTGCCACCACTGGCTACGGCATCGCCATGCAGAAGGACTCCCACTGGAAGCGGGCCATAGACCTGGCACTCTTGCAGTTCCTGGGGGACGGTGGGTACTGCCACTGCTGGGATGCCCAGGGTGGGCTGTGGAGCCCAAGGTTGTCAGCATTTCCACCACCACTCAAGTTCCCAAGGCCTGTGGGCAGGGAGAGGTCTCTGGGGGGTGAGAGGTTGGGGCAGTTGAGGGGGGCAGGTATAGAAGCAACTGGAGAGAGACTTGAGGAAGCGATAGGTGTGCAGGGAGGGAGCAGGAACTGGGCTAGAGACTCCCTCAAAGGCAGGAAGACAGGAAGGGGCTCAGGCCTCACGGTGGGGGTGGGGATGGGTGGAGTGGCTGAACTCTTTTCTTCTTCCCTAAGCCCCCTCCCATGATCTCTCCCAGATGAGCACCTCCTTTGCTCGGTATAGTATCTCCATGGCCATCTTGAGATTATGGATCTGCTTAGTCCCACATGTGTGAGTGGTCCAGCCCAGCCTGCCCCCAAACCCAGAGAGAGCTTTGCGTTTAGAGGAGTTCCATTCTTGTTAGATAAGACATGGTCTAGACTGGGTGTGGTGGCTCATGGCTATAACCCCAGCACTTTGGGAGGCTGAGGTGGGAGGATCACTTGAAGTCAAGAGTTTGAGATCAGCCTGGGCAACACAGCAAGATCCTGTCTCTATAAATAAAATTTAAAAAAAATTAGGCACATACCTATAATCCCAGCTACTTGGGAGGCTGAGGCAGGAGGATCCCTTCAGTCCAGGAGTTTGAGGCTGCAGTGAGCCATGATTGTGCCACTGTACTCCAGCCTGGGTGACAGAGTGAGACCCTGTCTCAAAAAAAAAAAAAAAAAAAATCTGATTTTTCAAACCATATAATAATGAGAGTGGCCAGGTGAGGTGGCCCACACCTGTAATCCCAGCACTTTGGGAGGCCAAGGTGTGAGGACTGCTTAAGTCTAGGAGATCGGGATCAGCCTGGACAACATGGGGATACCCTCTCTCTACAAAAGATACAAAAATTAGCCAGGTGTGGAGGTGCGCCTGTAGTCCCAGCTACTCAGGAGGCTGAGGTGGAAGGATCACTTGAACTAGGAGATCCAGGCTGCAGTGAGCCATGATCACACCACTGCACTCCAGCCTGGGTGACAGAGCATGACTGTCTCAATAATAATAATAATAATAATAATAATAAGAGCGATCACAATGCGTGTCTCTTAGGAGCCTAGGCCTTTTGTCTCTGTGTGCCCAGCTCCATGAGTGGCATATAGATGGTTAATAAGTATATGAAGATGAGTGAATGAATGAATGTTAACATTTACCCAATCAACAAGCCTTTACTGGGGGTGCACAGGGGGAGGACCCAAAGGCCAGCATTGCCCACTCCAGTCTGCACCCTGCTTTCCTATTTCCTTGCTCACTGACCCTCCAACTCCCCGCCCCACCACCCTGCCCCGGCCAGGCTAGATCCCCATGTGGTCTGCTTGAGGAAGAAGTGGGTGGCGCCCTGGCCCCAGATCCATTCTTACTCCAGGCTTGTGTTGAGCTTTGTAAGGGGGTTGCTTATAGGGGGGTTTCCTGAGCCAGATGTGTATCCCCGCTCAACTCCAGGAGAGACACAGAAACTGGAGACAGTGTGGCTCTCGGGGATCTGCCAGAATGAGAAGAACGAGGTGATGAGCAGCAAGCTGGACATCGACAACATGGCAGGTGTCTTCTACATGCTGCTGGTGGCCATGGGGCTGGCCCTGCTGGTCTTCGCCTGGGAGCACCTGGTCTACTGGAAGCTGCGCCACTCGGTGCCCAACACATCCCAGCTGGACTTCCTGCTGGCTTTCAGCAGGGTGGGTGCCCATCCCTCCCCACACAAGCCAAAGCTTTAAGGGCACCTACCCAGATAAGTCCAGGCTGGCCATGGCCCATTTCCAGAGGTAAAACCAAGGTTCTGGCCGGGCTCGTGGCTCATGCCTGTAATCTCAACACTTTGAGAGGCTTAAGGCCAGTGGATCCCTTGAGTCCAGAAGTTCGAGACCAGCCTGGGCAACATGGCAAAACCCCATCTCTACAGAAAATAAAAGAATGAGCTGGGCGTGGTGGTGCGCGCCTGCAGTCCCAGCTACTCAGGAGGCTGAGTTGGGAGGATCACTTGAGCCCAGGAAGCAGAGGTTGCAGTGAGCCGAGATGGCACCACTGCACTCTGGCCTGGGCAGCAGAGTGAGACCCTGTGTCTAAACAAAAAACAAACCCAAAGTCCTGAGGTGGCATGGCTCACCAGGGTGGCAGGGTTGAAGAGGGGCAGAGCCCTCCCCCCATAGGTGTGCCCAGGTTGGAACCTTCATGTGCCAGGTGCTAACTAGAGTGATTAGGAGAATGAGTCACCCTGGGCACTCAGACCACTCATTCATCTGCAAAGCACAGTGCCTGGCACATGGGAGATGCTTCCCAGTTAGCTGCTTCCTGAGACTTAGAGAAGGCTGATGATGCCTTGGGACCAGGCGGGGACAATCGTGGCGGGTCCCTGAGCAGAGGGCGCTGCTCACGGCCTGTCGTCTCCCTACTGCCCAGGGCATCTACAGCTGCTTCAGCGGGGTGCAGAGCCTGGCCAGCCCACCGCGGCAGCCCAGCCCGGACCTCACGGCCAGCTCGGCCCAGGCCAGCGTGCTCAAGATGCTGCAGGCGGCCCGCGACATGGTGACCACGGCGGGCGTGAGCAGCTCCCTGGACCGCCCCACTCGCACCATCGAGAACTGGGGTGGCAGCCGCCGTGCGCCCCCACCGCCCCCCTGCCCGACCCCGCGGTCTGGCCCCAGCCCATGCCTGCCCACCCCCGGCTCGCCCCCAGAGCCGAGCCCCAGGGGCTGGAGACCGCCAGGCGGGGGTCGCGCGGCGCTTGTGCGCAGGGCTCCGCAGCCCCCGGGCCGTCCCCCGACGCCGGGGCCGCCCCTGCCCGACGTCTCCCGAGTGTCGCGCCGCCCAGCCTGGGAGGCGCGGTGGCCGGTGCGGGCCGGGCACTGCGGGAGGCACCTCTCGGCCTCCGAGCGGCGCGCGCTCCCAGAGCGGCCCCTGTCGCCCGCGCGCTGTCACTACAGCTCCTTTCCTCGAGCCGACCGATCCGGCCGCCCCTTCCTCCCGCTCTTCCCCGAGCCCCCGGAGCCGGAGGACCTGCCGCTGCTCGGGCTGGAGCAGCTGGCCCGGCGGGAGGCCCTGCTGCACGCAGCTTGGGCCCGGGGCTCGCGCCCGCGCCACGCTTCCCTGCCCAGCTCCCTGGCCGAGGCCTTCGTTCGGCCCAGCTCGCTGCCCGCTGGGTGCACCTGCCTCACCTGCGCCCGCCCCGACGGCCACTCGGCCTGCAGGCGCTTGGCGCAGGCGCAGTCGATGTGCCTGCCGACTTACCGGGAGGCCTGCCAGGAGGGCGAGCAGGCAGGGGCCCCCACCTGGCAGCACAGACAGCATGTCTGCCTGCACGCCCACGCCCACCTGCCGTTTTGCTGGGGGGCTGTCTGTCCTCACCTTCCACCCTGTGCCAGCCAGGGCTCCTGGCTCTCTGGGGCCTGGGGGCCTCTGGGGCACAGGGGCAGAACTCTGGGGCTGGGCACAGGCTACAGGGACAGTGGGGGACTGGACGAGGTCAGCAGGGTAGCCTGTGGGACGCAAGGCTTCCCGGGACCCTGCACCTGGAGGCGGATCTCCAGTCTGGAGTCAGAAGTGTGAGTTATCAGCCACTCGGGCTTCGAGCCAGCTGGATTCTCTGCCTGGCACTGTCAGGATTAAGCGGCAGGCAGGATTGGGCTTTTCTCGCTTCTACCATGAAATCCTGGCCATGGGACCCCAGTGACAGATGATATCTTCCATGGTCATCAGTGACCTCAGTAGCCTCAAATCGTGGTGAGGGTTGGGCTTCTGCTGTCCTCTTATCATGCAGAGTTCTGCCAGGAGGGTGTGCTGTGGGGGTCAGACCCCTGAGGCTCTCCCTGCCCTGGGGCTAGCCAGTTACTGGTCATGGCTGCTGTGGGCATGGAGACTAGAACTTGTGGTTGAGGCAGGGTCATCCTGATCCTTGCTCTACCTGGCTGGAGTTTCTTCTCATCAGAGCACTGGGACATTAAACCAACCTTTTACAACACACTGGTCCTGGTTGCTTCATTCTGCATTCTGGAAGGGGCACAGCACAGGCCGTAGACAACAGGGGCATCGTGGGAGTATCCCAGGTGGGGTGCTTGCCTAAAGCAGGTGGGCAGCTCCCTCTCAGGGAGGCGGAGCCTTGGAAGCGTCTGGGAGGGATGTGGGAAGGAGGTGAGGCTGAGAGGGGGCTCTGGACAGCAGAAGCCACTTGGTATTCAGGGCCAGCTCCCACCCATCCTGGCACCGGATGTAACATGTGTGCTCAGCACAGGGGCTCTGGTGATGATGGATGGCATTCATCCCTCAGTCTCCTTGAAAAGGGAGGCTTGTGCCAGGGGTGGTGGCTGCCCCACCCTGCCAGGGACGCCCTGGGGAGCCTGACAGTGCCATGGTGGCAGAGGCAGAGAAAGGTAGGGAGCTTGTAGGTTTGCTAAACCCTGGCTGGCCACTTTATCTCTGACACGTGAGGCTCGGAACTGCCTGGGCTCTGGAATCCTGGTGCAGGTGGCTGCCAGGGTCAGGCACAGCTTGGCCTCGCTGGTGCCAGGACTCCTGTGGTGGGAGAATCTGCCTGAGGTCTCATCCTGTCCTCCCTCTGGGGCTTCTAGCCCACTTCCTTTTTCTATCACACATCTTTGCCTCTGGCCCATCTGAAAAGATGGCTTTTGCTTACCATTTTCAATGTTTTCACATCTGCAATTACACTTATCCCCCCTACAATGACTGTGGAGCAAGCAGGCTTTCATTCTTCTATCCGTTCCACAAACAGTGGAACTATTGATTCTGTCAGACCCTTTTCTAACGGCTGAGGATGTAAAGGCCAAGCCCTGGCTGTCCTGACGAGTTTCGTGGAGGCAGACCAGAGGCTAATTCCACGTGACAGAGAGGAAGCCCGAGGGGCGGTGCTGGCTGTCTCTGCCAGTGCCCTCCCCCAGAGCTCCTTGCTGGTTCCCAGGAAGCCGGATGGCCTCTTTAGTCTCTGAAGACCCCATTACTTGGGTTGGGGCCATAAGAACTGGACTTTTTTGGGGGGTTAGTTTTAGGGGTGAAGGCAGCTGAAGTGGTAGGGTGGGATACACCTCTATTCTTGGTAGGAGAGTACCCCAAGAGTGGGTGGCCCCGTCCATTACAATTTCATGCTCTCTACCCTATGGGTTTTCATGGGCTGGATCCAGGTTCAGGACAGCAGGCCGGGAGTTTGTCTAGGTGAGTGTTGGAGGCCAGCACTCTGGAAGGAAGCTTGACCTTGGTCGCAGCCACTGGTGGTGCGAGGGTTAACTGTTGGCCACCAGCCCCTGGAACCGAGCCCCTCCTCCTCCCGGAGTCAGGGTCTGCCTTCGGCCCTGGGAGGAAGGCTGCGGCAGGTGAGGCAGCCCGGAGGAGCTGTGAGATCAGGGCTGCTCCGCTCTCTGCCCAAGATCATTAATAACCAAGAACTGGAAAGATCATTAAGAGCTGAGCCTCCAATGTGGAACTGAGCCTGCTGCTGGCTCTGAGGGCCGCTCCTGCTCCTGGGCCAGGCGCTGGCTGCCTTGTTCCTTCTCTAGGAATATATCTGGGGGCAGGGGCAGGAGGCTATGAATCCTGGGGGACAGGTAGCAGGAAGGATGCATCCTGAGTTCAGAACTAGCTTGGCCTGGCTTCCTGCACCACCAAAGGAAAGGAAGAAAGCGTGGCAGGGGAGAGGAGAGTAAGTAAGGCCACAGATGTGAAAGCGTCATAAACAAGGGCCTGGCGACCCACATGCTCAAATAACACTTTTTTTCTTTGGTTGAGATACAGAGACAGGCCCTTGTGGCTGGCCTCAGAGCAGGAAAATCTTACTAACTGGGGTCCCTTCTGTTGCTGCTGTAGCTGTTTTTCCTTGTGTCTAGCTGAGCGGCTTGTGGTCCAAGCCAGCTTTTTGCAGGGAGCCAGGTGTGTGGAGGGGAAGGGGGCAGAGCTTACAAAAGGGCAGGCTGATGTCTTCAGTCAGGACCCTCCAGACTAGCCTGTCCTGCTCTTTGAAAGGGAAGGACTGTCCTCAAGTTTCCTAGGGGACTGGGGAACGAGAGACAACCCCTACCCGCAAAGCCCTCTAGACTCCAGATAATTCAGACCAATCTTCTGTTTCCGAATCGCAATCCAGTGACAACTCATTAGGAGGCTATGAAACCAAGTAGGTGTCAGGAGTCCTAATGAGTTGGGGGTCCCTGGCTACAAGTAGTTAGTCTGGCGAGTGATGTGGGAAACAGGTGTCACTGAATAGCTTTATTGAGCATTTTGTGCTGGGCACTAAGCTCAGCACTTTAATCCCCACAACTGGCCAGTGACGTAGCTGCTGTTACCCCACTTTACAAATGAGGAAGGACAGACCACGGAGGCTCGCTGCCTGCAAATCGCAGGCCCAGCTGCCTGGTCCACACAGAAAGTACCCAATGCCATGCCTGGCATATAATGACATTCAGTGGAGGTTACCCCTCCAGTCTGCAATCAACACCATCGGCCCCAGGCGGAAGGGATCCCAAGCTCTCTCCAACTTTCCAGTGGCCCTTAACCATGGGTCACCCTTGCTTGGGAATATGGCCCCACACAGGACGCTTCCACTTCCCCCAGGCCTGGCACTGCCAGCCACTGCCCCTCCGCAGTGGCTTTCCAGGAGCGGGGCAGCAGCCCCTGTCCTCCCCACCACTCTGACTCTAGCCTCTGCCTGTTGCCGAGGCTGCTCCTGGCCCCAGGGTGAGGACGGCTGTGTGGCTAAGGGCCCATCATGGTGCCACTGCCCACTTCCACCACCCAGCAGTGCCTCCCAGTCTGTCACCTGCTATCCGCCCCATCTATAAGCCAGCAGCTGCTGCTGTAGCCTCAGGTGAGGAACAGCCAGGAGCTGCTGGCACGAGGCTCTGGGGCTCAGGTGGGTCTGGTGCTTCTGCGGGGAGGGAGGCAAAGAAAGTCTACTACCACCTTGACCTGGTCTGCCCTGGGGGCATCTGGGGCCATGCAGGTGGCAGATGTTGGGTAGACGCTGCTGAGTTTAAGCTTTCCTCCACAGCGACACCTGCTCCTGGGCCAGGCTGGGCTGGCATCCTCTTCTGCTCTCCCCACCACTGACCTCGGGGGCCCATCTGCAATATGGAAACCACAAGCTGAACTTGCCTACTTTGCCAAGTTGATGATGGCTGCAGTGAAATGTGCCTGATGCACGTGGAGAGCCAGCATCACCCGGGGCTGTCTTGCTGTTGGGGTTCTCTGCCCCTGGCCCCAAGCCCCATTGGCCGTCAGCGGCAGAAGCCTGGCATCGATGGAGAGGAAGGTGACCTCATCTGACTTACAGCAGGAGGACACTGAGGAGCAAAGCAGCTAGACAACGGCAGTGGTGAGGGTCCCCACTTGGCAGCAGCGATGTGGTCACTGTGGGCCAGTTCCCTCCAGGGCCGGGGCTACCCCAGCTCAGAGGTGGCGGGGAACATGGCCACTGACTCCATGGCTGGGCGGTTCCAGACTGTCACATAAATTAACCTGGGCTTTATGAAGCTCATGAATTTGCGTCCAAGATTTGGTTGGGAGTCTGGGGTGGCAGGATGATTTAATCAACTTTGTCTTTAAGCAAGAGGGAACATAACTGGAGAAGGGTAATTCCAGATGTTTTGAGTTTTCAGCCACAGGAGTGCAGCCAGGTCTTCCTTGCTCTTGGCCTGACCACTGCAGGCCCCTGCTCTACCTATCCTGAGGGGTCTCCTGGGAGGAAGCCGCAATGGCAGATGGAGAAGGGGCATTTTTTTTTTTCCCGTGGATGGAAAATGACACGTGGGGACAAGCTGTGAGAACCGCCGAGGTGCGTCGGCAGAGAGAAAGCGGGCTGAGGCCAATTACACCGCACAGGGACTCTCCCAGGCTTCAGCTGCCAGGGCAGAGGTGGCGCAGCCTGTGGACTCCCCGCGTTCCCTGCAAATCCCACATCCCCCTGACCCTGAGACCCTTGGGCCCCAGGAGACCCTACATCGTTGCTCTGTCAGAGGTCTGAAGACGCTGAGATACAGGGGAGGCGCTGAGCAAGGCACTGAACTCAAAAGAGGGAGGGGTCGGGCCTGAGACCCACCCCAGAGAGGCGGCTCCAGGACAGGCGGGACCAGGCCCAGGGCTGGGGGCAAGCCAGTGAGGGTCAGGGGGACCCCCAGGTCCTGAAGCAGTAGAAGGCACGTTGAAAATACAGAGTTCATTCGAGTCACCTGTGTTTCCTAGGAGGCCAGCCCAGCAAGTGCGTGCATGGCTGAGTGGGAGGTGGCTAGGGACCTGGCCTCCTTCCATGGGAACGGCAGTGGGGGCCCCATCCAACCCCACATTGCCCAAGGGACATAGCGTGAACACTGAGCACCCACACCCAGCCCCTAAGGGAGCTGCCTTTAGCGTTGGAATGGGAGCACGGGCAGCCTGACCACTGTCAGGGTGGGAACCTCAGAGCCCTCCCACTGCCATGTCACCGCCAAGCCACTGAGGTGCCAGGTGGGGATGGCTGCCCTCTAGTAGGACCACCCACACTGCGAGAGGCCCTGAGGGCGCCAACGGGGCAGCGAGGGCAGCAGACAGTCCCTTTCAGGGACAAGCTCCAGACTTTAGGCCCAGCTGGCAGGCGGCTGTGTCCCTATAGAAGGGACACTCCATCCAGCCTGCTACTCTGGAGCTTGCGCCCACAGCGAGAACCCTCGCAGCTCTATCTGGGGACTCTGGTACCAGTTAGCACTTCTTGTTCTTGTCATGGGGCCAGCCAGGCCCTCTCTGAGGTGGCACCTAGCGCCTCCCAGGCCTGGTGGGAGGGTGGGCCCTGCTGTCACAGGCAGGCCTGGCTAGGATGCTTCCAGCCTGGGATTCGCCTCTGAAGAGGCAGCAGTTGCTAGTGAAGGTTTCTTAGACAAGGACGCAGGACAGGGCTGGAGAGAGGAGGGGCATGGGTCTGGGACAGATGATGGCAGTGCCAGCACTGCATCTCCCACCGTGCAGGGAGGAGCCTGCCGTGGAGGTGGGGT